CCAGGCTGGAGTGCAGTGGCACAATCTCGGCAGCCTCCCAAGTAGCTGGGACTACAGGCGTGCTCCACCACGCGCAGCTAATTTTTGTTTTTTTTTTTTTAGCACAGACAGGGTTTCACCACGTTGGCCAGGATGGTCTCAATCTCTTGATCTCGTGATCTGCCCACCTCAGCCTCCCAAAGTGCTGGGATTACAGGTTTGAGCCACCGTGCCCAGCTGACACAGGCCAACTTCTTCGGTTTGTAGTGTGCTTTTTTTTGTGATAAAACCACATAAAATTTACCATCTTAACTATTTTAAAATGTATAATTCAGTAAAGTATATTCATATTGCTGTGAAACAGACCTCCAGGATGTTTTTATCTTGCCAGACTATTAACTATATACCCATTAAATAACAACTTTCCCTTTTATGGATAAGTGTTTATGAAATAACATGATGTTAAAAAAGTAGATCCCCAAACTATGTATTATAATGACAATTGCTTAAAATTATATACACATTGGGTAAATGTTCTAAATGGTGAACTAAAAACAAATATATTAGAATAGTAGGATTAAGAGGGAATTATCTTAAATTTTCTTAATATGTACTCCCTTTCTGTAGCCCTTGGTAACCACCATTTTTCTTTCTATGAATTTGACTACTTTAGATGTCTCATATAAGTGGAATCATACAATATTTGTCTTTTTCTGATGGCTTATTTCACTTAGCATAATGTCCTCAAGGTTCATCCATGTTGTAGAATGTGACAGGATTTCTTTCCTTTTTAAGCCAGAATACGATTCCATTTTATGTATATACCACATTTGCTTTAACCATTCATCTGATGATAGGCATTTAGGGTGCTTCCATCTTTTGCCTATTGTGAACAGTGCTGCTACGAACATAGGTGTACAATTATCTCTTTAAGACTTTGCTTTAAATTCTTTTGCATATAAACCAGAGGTGGGATTGCTGGGTCACAAGGCAGTTCTATTTTGGTTTTTTTTTTTTAGGAACTTCCATACTGTTTTCTACAGCAGCCACACCATTTTACAATCCAAACAACAATACACAAGAGCTCCAATTTCTCCAGAGCCTTATCGATGCTTGTCATTAACCTCAGGTGATCCACCCATCTCAGCCTCCCAAAGTGCTGAAATTACAGGCATGGAGCCACCTCATCTGGCCTCTTCTAGCTATTCTGAAATTTTTAGTAGATTATTGTGAATTAGTCACCCTACTAATCTATTGAACACGTGGTCTTATTCCTTCTATCTAACTGTATATTTGTACCCATTAATCAATCTCTCCTCACCCCCTACCCTTTCCTGGCCTCTGGTAATTAACAATCCATTCTCTATTTTCATAACATCCACTGTTTTAGCTCCCACATATGGATGAAAACATGCAATATTTATCTTTCTGTGCTTGGCTTATTTCACTTAACATAAGGACTTCCAGTTCATGTTGCTGCAAATGGTAAGATTTCATTCTTTTTTAAATGGCTGAATAATATTCCATTGTGTATATATACCACATCTTTTTTATCCATTCATCTATATGGAACAGACAAGAATCCCCACTTATTCCACTTTAATTCAACATAATACTAGAAGTCCTGGCCAGAGAAATTAGGCAAGCAAAAGAAATAAAGGGCAGCCAAATTGGAAAGGAAGAAGTCAAATTAGCCTTGTTCACAGACAATATAAGTTTTTTTTGAGACAGGGTCTCACTCTGTCGCTCAGGCTACAGAGCAGTGGTGGGAAAGTGATCTTGGCTTACTGTGCATCCTGGGTTCAAGTGATTCTCCCACCTCAGTCTCCTGAGTAGCTGGGACTACAGGCATATACCACCATGCCCAGCTAAATTTTGTATTTTTAGTAGAGACAGGGTTTTGCCATGTTGGCCAGGCTGGTCTTGAACTCCTGGCCTCAAGATCTGCCCACCTGGACCTCCCAAAGTGCTAGGATTATAGGCATGCACTATTGCACCTGGGCAACAATATGATCTTATACTTAGAAAAACTGATAAATTTAGTAAAATTGCAGGATATAAAATCAACGTGCAAAAATCAGTAGCATTTAAATATGCCAACAGTGGACAATCTGAAAAAGAAATCAAGAAAGCAATTCCATTCACAATAGCTACAAAGAATATAAGATACCTAGAAATCAATTTAATTAGAGAAGCAAAACACCTATACAAGGAAAACTTTAAAACACTCATAAAAGAATTAAAGAGGACATTAAAAAATGAGAAGATATTCCATGCTGATAGGTTCCAATAATTAATATCGTTAAAATGACAATTCTACACAAAGGAATTTACAGATTCAATGCAATCCCAATCAAAATACTTATGACATTCTTCATAGAAATAGAAAACAAAATCCTGAAATTTTTTTCTTTTGTTTTTTTTTGAGACAGGTTCTCACTCTGTCACCCAGTCTGGAGCAAGGCACAATGACAGCTTACTGCAGCCTCAAACTCATGGGCTTAAACAATCCTCCAGCTGCAGCTCCCTGAGTAGTTGGGACTTCAGGTGCATGACCACAATACTTGATTAATTTTTGTATTTTTTTTTTGAGACATTGTCTCGCTCTGTTGCCTGGGCCGGAGTGCAGTGGTGCAATCTTGGCTCAGTGCAACCTCCATCTTCCAGGTTTAAGTGATTCTCCAGCCTCAGCCTCCTGAGTAGCTGGGATTACAAGCGCATGCCACCAGGCCTGGCTAATTTATATATATAAATTTTAGTAGACACTGGGTTTCACCATGTTGGCCAGGCTGGTCTCATACTCCTGACTTCAGGTGATTTACCTGCCTTGGCCTCCCAAAGTTCTGAGATTACAGGTGTGAGCCACAGTGCCTGGCTAATTTTTGTATTTTTTGTAGAGACAGGTTTTAGCCATATTGCCCAGGCTGGTCTTGAACTTCTGGGCTCAAGCAATCCTTCAATCTAGACTTCCCAAAATGCTGGGATTACAAGTATGAGCCACTGTGCCTGGCCCCTAAACTTTTTACAGAACCACAAAAGATCCAGAAAAGCCAAAGCAATCCTGAGCAAAATGAACAAAGCTGAGGCCAGGTGCGGTGGCTCACACTTGTAATCCCAGCACTTTGGCAGGCAGAGGTGGGCGGATCACTTTAAGTGAGGAGTTCAAGACCAGCATGGCCAACATGGCAAAACTCTGTCTCTACTAAAAACACAAAAATTAGTTGGATGTGATGGTGGGCACCTGTAATCCCAGCTACTCAAGAGGCTGAGGCAGAAGAACTGCTTGAACCTGGGAGGCAGAGGCTGCAGTAAGCCAAGATCACGCCACTGCACTCCAGTCTGGGCAACAGAACAAAACTCCATTTCAGAAAAAAAAAAACAAAGCGGGAGGCATCGTACTACCTGACTGCAAAACATATTACAAAGCTATGGTAACCAAATCAGCATGGTGCTGGAAAAACTGGAAAACTATTTGCAAAAGAATGAAACTAGACTCTTATTTACTATATACAAAGATCAAATCAAAATGGACTAGACTTAAATCTAAGACCTGAAATTATGAAACTACTGGAAGAAAACATTGAGGGAAATGCTCCAGGACATTAGAGTATTTTTATTTGCCTAGTATTTGTTATTTGTCTAAAGATTTCAAAAGCACAGGCAACCAAAGCAAAAATAGAAAATGGGATTACATCAAGCTAACACGCTCCTGTATAGCAATGAAAGAATCAACAAAGCGAAGACACAACCCACAGAATGGAAGAAAATATTTGCAAACTACACATTTGACAAGGGATTAATAACTGGAATATATTAAGGAGCTCAAATAATTCAAAAGCAAAAAAAAAAAAAATCAAAATTAAAAAATGGGCAAGGTTGGGGCAGTGGCTCACTCCTGTAATCCCAGCAGTCTAGGAGGCCGAGGAGTTTGATACCACCCTGGGCTAAGGCAGGAGGATCACCCGAACCCAGGGAGATTAAAGCTGTAGTAAGCCATGCTCTCACCACTGCACTCCACATTGGGCAACAAGACCCTTGACTCAGAAAAAAAAAAAAGCAAAACATCAGAATAGATATTTCTCAAAAGAAGATGTACAAATGACTAACAGGTATATATCAAAGAGATAACTGCACTTCCATGTCTACTGCAGCTCTATTCATGACAGCCATAACATGGAATCAACATTTCTTGGTTGTTTTTTTTTTTTTTGAGATGGAGTCTCACTCTGTCGCCAGCATGGAGTGCAGCGGCATGATCTCAGCTCACTGCAACCTCTGCCACCTGGGTTCAAGTCATTCTCCTGTCTCAGCCTCCTGAGTAGCTGGGACTACAGGTGTGCACCACCATGCTCAGCTAATTTTTGTCCTTTTAGTAGAGACAGGGTTTCACCATGTTGGCCAAGATGGTCTGGATCTCTTGAACTCGTGATCTGCCCACCTCCGCCTCCCAAAGTGCTGGGATTACAGGCATGAACCATGGCTCCCAGCCCCTAGGTTTTTTTCTGATGGTAGCACAGGCCAATTTTTAAAAAATTATTTATGAATGTTTAAATTCCTTACCTGAATTTAACTTAAATATAAAGGCCTTCAAGAAAACTGTCTTCGATTCTTACTGAAACTTTATATTTATCCTAAAACTGCAGCATCATTTTGATATGACTTTATCTTCTTTGCTCAAAGTTTATAAATTTGTTCAAAGATCCTAGCAAGTAAAATGCATAATAGCATAGTAAAAGCAGCATAGCAAGTGGAAAAGTTTAAAATTATGTTTTCATATTTTGTTTGAAATGCCACCCATGTGTATATCTCCCAGAAAAAGCAATAATATGACTACTGAAAGACACAATTATAGGGGTGAATACAAATTTCATTAACTTTGGTCCCACTACACTCGAAGAATTGGGAATTCTACCAAATGGAACAAGTGGACTGGCATCAGGAGAGGCTAAGAACTCTCAGAAGCAATGACATGAGGAGAAGGAAAGTGACTAAAGCAGGAGCTACAGCACACAGTTGGCTACCTTGCTCTTCCAGAAGGACTTGCACAGCTGAGTTTTCCTTTACTTTTTTTCTGGCTGCTTCTTCTTCTTCGTTAGACCACTGCATATGATCCCTATTAAAAAATAAAAAGATTGTAAAATATGCTTTATCATTGAAAAAGGCAGAAAAAAGGTGACAAGGAACCAAATCTTTCATTCTAGATTAGCTGAAGACAAATTATACTGACTAATTCCACATGGAATGAATACATTTTGTGTCAGATGTTCCTACTGATGGCTCTGGTACAACCATGGAACTCCTACGATTCTTCTGTTTAAATCTGGTTGTGCTGCAAGCCCCAGCTACCTCTGGGAAATGGCTGCTAAAGTAATGTCCTCAGAACACCCTGGTGTATGATTATTTGGGTGCTGGTATGGTTTGCTGTTTTTTACTCTAAGGCTAAATTTATTTGCCTTTTTGTTAATTTATGAACAAAACATTCTTCAGTTGGTTTTAAATGCTTCTCTTACAACACTTGTATTCTAACACTTTGCTGTCAAATAGATGAAAGTTTTAAAATGTTTTGTACTTAGCTTGCAATTTTTAAAGTAACTTTAGATTTGTTTTTCTTATTATCTACTTTAATTTCCATAAAAGGACTCATTTACATTTAAGTGATACAGTACCTGATATAGCACATGAAAAGGTCACTTTTCTAAGTTCTGGAACTTTCTATAAGTATTTTTAGTTTCAGAGTCTACTCTCCTTGTATGAGAAGATATTATTTTCTGCTGCAAAAATTGTCTTTCTTGGAATAGAAGCAACAACTGTATAGAAGAAAGGTAATTATTTTTAAGTTTTGTTTTCACAAAGTTTGCATTTTCTTTTTGCAATAGATTAGACTATAAGTAAGTAAAGCAATTTCTGGGAATAAACCAGGAGTAAATTTTTATTGCTAAACAATAAAAAATTACACACTCCATATTCAAGTTGCATATAGCCTAAAAGAAAAACCCCTAACACTATTATATTATGATATATGTGGTCATGTGACTGGTGAAAAGGGATAAATTATACAATTCTTGGAAGTACATTGTGTTGTGACCGACAAACATTGAGCAGTTAGCATGATCATAATTACAATAATAATTACCATCATTTATTTATTACATAATGAGTCCCAGGACTAAAGTGGTGCCAATGGAGAATAGGAAGGAAGGGTGGAGAGAGAGACACTGAAAACACTGTAATTAAGACCTAGAGATTAAATAGATATTGGCGGAGAAGCAGTCTAAGAGTCATGAATGATTCCAAGGTCTTAAAACTGAGTAGGAAAGTGTGGGAAACAATGACACAATATGGAGTTGCATTGGATGGAATGATGGTAAGCTTCGTACTATTTTAAGTATGCTTATACAATCAGATATAAGAGGGTATATTCCAGTGATCTGGCTACAAATACACCACTGAAGGTGAGAAGCTGTTTTCTTTAAAACAAAAAACAAAAAATCAAAAAAAACCCTAGTATGTTGCAGTATCCAGGAAAAGTGAATGAGAATGTTTTCAGAGTTTCATAGATAAAAGTTTAACCACCAGTATTTAAATAAAATCCAATTATGTAAAAGTCAAACAATCATTAAATGGCTTTGTCTCTTACTTTAATAAATGAGATTAGAATAGTTTTTGTTGTCAGGCGCGGTGGCTCACGCTTGTAATCCCAGCACTTTGGGAGGCCTAGGCGGGTGGATCACGAGGTCAAGAGATTGAGACCATCCTGGTCAACATGGTGAAACCCCATCTCTACTAAAAATACAAAAAATTGCTGGGCATGGTGGCGCACGCCTGTAGTCCCAGCTACTCAGGAGGCTGAGGCTGGAGAATTGCCTGAACCCAGGAGGTGGAGGTTGTGGTGAGCCGAGATTGCGCCATTGCACTCCAGCCTGGGTAACAATGGCGAAACTCCGTCTCAAAAAAAAAAAAAAAGAATAGCTTTTGTTTGACTTATTTTACCATATGTGAGTAATCACATAAAAATTAGGGCTGGCAACTATACATTCTGTATATATAAATATACTATATTGAATACAATTACATGACAGTTGTGACTTTAAAGGCAACAAGTTATTTATTGAAAAAATAGTATTTTTAAGGCTAGGAATGAGTTTCTTAGCTACAAATTTCTACCACATATAGGAAAGAAAATAGAACAATCTATTTTCTGGGAAGAATAAAGCTGTGAGACAATGAGAGTACATGTGGTCTTCAGCTTTAAGCATTTAAGCTTTTAGTTTAACTTGCTACTTCTTAAGTATTTAATAAATTTACTTATTTCTTAACAGTAACTTCCTTACACTGTTCTTTATGTTGCTTCCTTTTCTTACCTGCTAAGTGAGGGGAATATTATACCCTAAGTTCCTGCAGAACAGATTTTTTTTTTTTTTACTGTACAGTTACAGAATCCCCACAGAAACCTATTAAAATGTTCCTACTGTATTTATGGGGACTTCCTCTAGCCCTGCTGCTTTATGACAGTTCTTTACTTTGGAAGAACTGGATTCATGTATCCCAAAACTCAACAGCTAGCAGTAAGAATCATACAACTTTTTATTACCAATAAATACAACTACAATAGAATTTAAGCATAGAAACAAGTAACTAATAAACAAACTGAAAATAATCAAGTATTTAACAGCAACAAAAACCAAAGAGGAAAAATGGTTTATAGAGTTTGGCCAATAAATTGTACTTCTGGGAACTTACTGAAATGACATAACTCAAAAGAACTAAGAAATTCTGTATAGAAAAATATTTGTATGAAGATATTCACTGGAACATTAAGTATAATATTAATAGCAAAATACTAGAAAACTGGAAACAAGTTCAGTGGCAGGGAAATGAAAAAAATCATAGTAAATCCAAGGAATATTATACAGAAATTCAAGATAATAAATATGACTATTATATGACAATATAGAAAAGGATTTATAAAATAACCAAAAATTTATATATATATATATAAATTTTTTTTTTTTTTTAGACAGAGTCTTGCTCTGTTGCCCAGGCTGGAGTGCAGTGGCACAATCTCTGCTCACTGCAATCTCTGCCTCCTGGGTTCAAGCAATTCTCCTGCCTAGCCTCCCAAGTAGCTGGGATTACAGGCATGTGCCACCATGCCCAGCTAATTTTGTATTTTTAGTAGAGATGGGGTTTTTCCATGTTGGTCAGGCTGGTCTTGAACTCCCAACCTCAGGTGATCTGCCCACCTTGGCCTCCCAAAGTGCTGGGATTACCGGTGTGAGCCACTGCACCCAACCACTTGACTAATTTTTTTGTGTTTTTTATAGAGATGGAGTTTTGCCCTGTGCTCAGGCTGGTCTTGAACTCCTAGGCTCAAGCAATCCACGTATCTTGGCCTCCCAAAGAGCTGGGATTACAGGGATGAGCCCGGCCAAATTATATATGTATTATAATTACAACTGTTTAAAATTATATACTCACTGGGTGAAGATTCCAAGTGGTGAGCTAAAAAAACAATTATGTTTGAATAGGAGTAAGAAAGATGTATCTTTAATTTCCTTAATATTGTAAAGAAGCTTCAACTAGAGATAATTTTTTTAAAAACTATATATAAAACCTGTACTCTATGTTTAAGATACATAACAATCATCTTTAAAACTTTACCCTTCTTGAGGAAAAAGTCATCAACCCTCATAATACGAAGGAAGTAATGTTTTCTTAAAAAGGAGATATAAAAAAGAAAACTGAGCAGAAAATGCAAAATATACTTTTCATGAAAATTTGAATTTGAGAAAAAAATCTCAAAAATAAAAGATTTTTGAGTAAGACAAGATTTTTTTCTTTTAATTACATTTTAGGTTTTGGGGTACATATGAAGAACATGCAAGATTGTTGCATAGGTACACACGTGGCAGTGTGATTTGCTGCCTTCCTCCCCTTCACCTATATCTGGCATTTCTCCCCATGCTATCTCTCCCCAACTCCCCACCTCCCGCTGTCCCTCCCCTATTTCCCCCCAACAGACCCCAGTGTGTGATGCTCCCCTCCCTGTGTCCATGTGTTCTCATTGTTCAACACCCACCTATGAGTGAGAACATGCAGTGTTTGATTTTCTATTCTGTGTCAGTTTGCTGAGAATGATGGTTTCCAGGTTCATCCATGTCCCTACAAAGGACACGAACTCATCGTTTTTGATGGCTGCATAATATTCCATGGTGTATATGTGCCAAATTTTCCCTGTCCAGTCTATCATCGATGGGCATTTGGGTTGGTTCTAGGTCTTTGCTATTGTAAACTGTGCTGCAATGAACATTCATGTGCATATGTCCTTATAGTAGAACAATTTATAATCCTTTGGCTATATACCCAGTAATGGGATTGCTGGGTCAAATGGAATTTCTATTTCTAGGTCCTTGAGGAATCGCCACACTGTCTTCCACAATGGTTGAACTAATTTACACTCCCACCAACAATATAAAAGTGTTCCTATGTCTCCACATCCTCTCCAGCATCTGTCTCCAGATTTTTAAATGATCACCATTCTAACTGGTGTCAGATGTATCTCAAAGTAGTTTTGATTTGCATTTCTCTAATGACCAGTGATGATAAGCATTTTTCCATATGTTTGTTGGCCTCATGTATGGAGTAAGAAAAGTTTTTACATGTCCTATAATTTGTTTGTATATATATTTTACATATATATTTCCTCTTCCTTCCATATCTATAGTACAACTGAATGATGTTTCCTTGATTTAGCTTTTAGTTTATGGCAATAGTAATCTAAATAATTGTATGTTTGGTTTGATTTGAAACAGTTAAAACATACACACACCCCAATTATTTAATCTGGATACTAAAGTTTTTGATAATCTTACCTAGAGAAAATTCTGCTGAAGGTGGTATTACTTGTTATACTTTTTAATATTCAGATATAAACCAAATAACTCAATATTAACTATTTTTCTGTCTTTGTCATTTACTATGTATGTGATGGCCTCACTATAGAACATAATTTTGTTCTATAAGACAGTGATATTTGACAAATTCAACAAATTGTAGTAGATGAGTAGGGAATTTAAAAAAACATATTTTTAGCTGGGCATGGTGGTGCATGCC